TGGCTTTGTTTACAAGTTATATTTCATTTGCAAAAAAGCACAATGTGAATGCAAACCGCACCAAACGAAAAAAAATGTCCATTTTTGGTCCGGACCAAACAATTGGACCAAAGGACTTTCYTGGTCTGAATWCACCCTTAAATTTAACTTGYCTTAAACYGTAGGAACCTGTGATCATGATAGTAATATTTACGCTGCGTAGCCAGGAATAACTGAAGCTGAGAGCCATGTCARAGGTCTGGTTGATTATTTACGGTATCAAAAAAATACCCAAGTGTATTTGCGTATATTTATAAACACAATTTGTGTGTTCGTTTAGTATCGGTAAATATCGGTTATCGGCCATAACATCAATAATTATATTGATATCGGCTGAAATTTTCRTACCTAACAGGCATAAACTACAGGGAAACACCGCTGTCTCTTTTATTTTGAAGGTTCTGAATCTTTCTTGTCACAACCATAAATAATACGTTACTTGTAGTTTCTGCTGKATTAGTCATCTGCGTTATTAATGGAGATCCAGTAAATACTGTCACAGAATGAATGCAGTGAAAGAGAAGCTTGTTAAAAGCAACTTGTTGAAGTTTCTAACCTCAGGTATTCATGTGTCTCTGCAGAGGTCAGATCAAACTGGCTGACTTCGGTTTGGCTCGACTTTACAATTCTGAAGAAAGGTAAGACAAAGTGATTGATAAAGTAAATACAAAAAGCAATAAAATGATACCTTTATGATTATTAWGCTTGATGCAGTTGTATGATTCATTATGTGGACTGAACGAGTGCAACACTTTAATTCGATGTCATCCCACTAGGTGGAGCTCTATCTCTGAAACAATTTGTTTACTTGTTGCTGAGGTGTTTTCTGCTTGAACACAAGGGGGTGCAGGTGTTGTTTGAATGTGTCTCGACTCACTGTTCCACCCTTTATCCTCTCCCTCAGTCGACCATACACTAATAAAGTAATCACACTATGGTACCGTCCGCCTGAACTGCTCCTGGGTGAGGAGAGGTATTCTCCAGCCATCGATGTTTGGAGCTGTGGGTGAGTCTTGAAGATGTTTCACTTTGTGACTCATCTGACATTTTTCCTTCACTTTGTGAGGATYACAGTGACCCTGGATCCATAAAGAAGCTCTTTGGGCATTATATCAGGTTGTATCTACTAGCTTGTTAACACA